CCCCCCCCCCCCCAAAACATGAGAATTAAACGAATGAAATACAATTAAGGTTTAGCTTTCGGGCCACTTTCGGATAATGTGCATAAAAAAACATACTTAAATTTACCTTGTTTGTTTAGGATAAAGTAAGCGGCTTTTGAAATAATTAATGACAATCTTATTGTCAAGGTCAACTTCAAATCAATATTATTTAATAAATTGGGTCTACAATAAAATAATAATAGGATCACACCTTTATTACGAGTTTGTAAACATACTTCTAGAGTTACTCGATTAACTATGGCACCCGGTGTATTTCTTTAATGTTTCGTTTAGTAGGAATGATGAAAAGTAAGAAGGATAAAAAATAAGAGGGATACATTTTCTATTTTTTAAGGATGAAAAATATGAATGATACATTTTTCTTCCTTTATATTTAGTTGGTTGGATAGATGAAAAATAAAAATGACCAATTTTTTTTTATCTAATATTAGGGGTGATAATCGAATCGTGTCGTGTCAAATTCGTGTTAAATCATAAAATTATGAACCTTTTATATTTTTTGTTCGCATGTCAAGTCATTTTCAAATTCATATCGAGTTATAATCAAATTCGTGTCATAAAATTAATGTCAAGTTCAAATCGTGTCATGGAGTCGAAAATTTTTACCACTAGTTAAGATTAAAAAATATTTTTTTTTTAATTTAAATTTTTTATTTTTATTTTATTTTGTTATTTTGTTATTTTTATTTTATCATTGTATTTGTATATGAAATTAATATATACATAATATATAGACAAATAAAATACATTTCAACACAAATAATTAATTTTTCATTCACCTTCCTTCCGATTTTAGAGGAATTGATTTTGATAAATTTAAAAAAAATTTAATTTATCCACTTTTTCATCCTTCTTATTTTTCTTTCTTACCAAACATGATATTTTATTATCCCTGTAACTTTTCATCCTTTCATTTTTCTATCATACCAAGTGGAATATAAGAGTGGCCAAAAGTTCCTCTACTTAAATGTAGTACGAAATCATCCCAAAAATCTCGATCAAAGCAAGCATATGCCTAACATGAATACCTCAAGTCACAGACAGAGGTAAAGAGACTCAACCTTGATTGAAATAAATACCACAAAAAAGTAAAGCACTCATCCAACCTCAAATAAATACCGCAAGGGGTTTTTTTTTTTTTTCTAGTTGTCAACCCCTAATCCTGACTTGAACAGAAGATTGAAGAATGAACAGAAATACCATCTCTCAATGCAATAGTGCAATACTGACCCACCTAGCAACCTGAGTGTATAGTAGCAACACCCCACCCCTACCCTCCACCCCCTGGCAAAAGAACTGCCCTCCAGCACCTCGGTAAGTGCCCTGTGAGTTGGATGATACAGAGTTCTGTGCCTTTTCTTTAGAGAATTAGGTACCGATAATCTCTTACTAGTACAATGTCCAACAGCCTTTGGTTCAATAGTATTCCTTACCTTGTGAACATTTTTCCTTTTTGAGGTCAAAGGTTCAAGTCCTCTCTCCCCTCCCCCTCCCAAAAAAAAAAAAGAAAAGATGAGGGAATGCAACATCAATGTCCTCGTATGTGTGTGTTTTTCACGAAAATGGTACACATATGAGAGGCTTGTGGAAGAAAAGGTTAAAGACCCAACCAGATTAACAAGATCAAGTAAGGAATGAAACATTATACACCATTCTGATGCCTAGTCAGGAAGGAAAGGCAATTTTTCCAGGGTATTAGGTGAACCATTTGCTTCAGCATTAACATTAAATAACTCATCAAACTCATTGTCAGCCTCAGTTCTTTCACTAGTTTGTGTGTCTTCATCCTCCATACTTTGAAATGGAAGGATACGCAGCCGTATATCTGATTCTGAACCAACTCTTTCCGATTGTAGATTGTATTTCCGAATGAGATCCTTCTGAAGCAGTATGATGTTGGAGGGCCTAGGGAGTAGCTCCACAGGTTCTCCTTTAGGAATTACTATTTGTTCAACGGCTATCCTCGCTTCCTGTAAAAATGGAGAAACACTTTATCAAGTTGATTGAGAAGATTAAGCAATGAGGCCACCTTATTACAGAAGCAAAGGGTGTGTCCCTTATTCATCTAACTTGTAAATAATGTTGTATGAGGACAAGATCACAACATACACCTTCTGAATGGCACCTCATCCATCACTTTGTAATCAACCATACTAATCATACCCAACCATTCAATCTGACAAAAGCAATATCTTTAGTTAAAACAAAATAACTCTGCAGATTTTCTGGTGCACGATCGTTTCAGTCTTCTCTTCCCCATTTAGTTGCTCAACTTATATTAACTTGTGCTTTCTCATTGATGCCACCATCAACATTCTTGGGCAGTACAGATGAGAAATCTGACTCCCTCCTAAATTACTTAGAGAGGCAACCACAACATTCTCCTGGATAATTTAATACAGATCCTCACCAGTCTTACCAATGCACACGACAAAGTTGTTTTTATAAATAGAAGTAGCACTTATCTACACCCAAAAGCGCACCTTACCTCACCATTTCACCATTAATCCGGGAGAAACATACTCTTGAAGCTGTCCACCACCAAAACAGCATTCTGCAATAACTCGTAATCATCAAGCTCATCCAATCATTGCCATAATCTGGTTTTATAGCATCCACATTCCATGTTTTCACCTTGTTCCTTTTCTTAACATAGTTTTAGAAATTCAACGCAACACAACTAAATACCTATAGTTGAAGAAAGTGCAACACCAACAAGCTACAACTAGGTTTGAAAGTGTCTGTCCCTCCAAAGAAAAATATGCCTAGTTATTCTTTCACTCAATCACATGTAATAATTTTATTTGAAGGTTAATGTTTAGGCTCGTGAGGAGGCTAAAGCTTTGATGGATGTCCATTCAACTTTAAAGCCAAAGTGTAGCTAGAGTGGACTCTGCTCTTTTCTGATCTCTGAAAACTACATTCCAAAAGCAGAGCTGGACAATCTCTCAACTTCCAGCACATACAACCAGAACCATTGTCATGGGGTCATTCATAGATGGCCTACTGCATGACCAAAAGAAGATAAGGCAAAAGTAAAGTCATTTTCACCTCCAAGGCATCCATCTTCTCTGACATATTCATCTTGGCTCCAGATTCAAAAAACTCAAAGCCATCAGCATAATCAGTCATCAATGCCTGTATGGCCTTTGTTAACTGTGCCAATGAGTTCGTCTGCAAAATATCAATATGGATACATGATTCAAACATCAGCATCAAAAGGGATCAGTAAGGCCAAGTATATGTAGCAAAAGTTACCTTCGTCACATAAATAGGGATGCCACAAGATCTAGCAGCAGCTTGAATCCGAGAATTCTTCTTCAACTTGGACTGCAATCCAAGTAGTGCATCTGCTTCACTGATATTATCAGTAAATTCAACTGCATCATCTATCTTCAGCTGTTTAATCCCTTGTACCACACTTGCCTCTGAAATCTATAACACCTGCTCAAAGTATAAGTTGCAGGTGCTACAATTTTTATAAAACACCTATTCCAAGTTCTGCAAGAAGTGAACTTCATATCTTAATAAGCAAAAGAGTAAAAGGTGCAGTTTTATCAATATATCATTACGAGTTTTTGGCCTTACAGAAACCTCATAAATGAAACAAAGAAAACAGAATTTGGAAGAAGGGCAATCATTTGATCTGCATTTTTTCGTCAAACCTACGTCCCTGTTGTCATCCTTTTCTGGATACTATTCTGACTGACTCAGTCAATCGTACTAGTAGAAATATGGAATAATACATAATCTTGGTAGAAAGATTTTGCAACTATTAAATTCAGGTTAAACTTGGCAATAAGCATAACCAACCTAAGAAGCTAAACCTGATAGCATATTATGAACTACAGAAATGAAAGTAATCAGAAGGAACAAACATTGAATCAATACCTAAGGAAACAAATATTGCTAATTTTATCTTTTTTGCCTGTCATTGTACCCATCTGTGAAGGCACTAATAATAGTGGTGCCATTACTTGCCCATAGAGAAGGGAAGGGAGGGGACCAGGCACCAAACAGGCATCGTATAAGTTCATCCTGTGATTCCAAGTGCTACTCTTACTGCACCGTTTCCAATTTTCTTTCGTTTTGTTCTATTTTTACAACAACAGTTGGACAAGAAATTTAAGCCAACATAAAAATCATGTTTCAAGATGACAACTGAAAACTTGCCTTCAGAAGGATAAAGACAATTCAACCTGGAGCAATATTTTTAAAACATGGCAAAGTCGAGACATCTTACCCCATAGAGAAATAGGCAAAGGGGTGCCTCATCTTCACAAGAATCTTCATCAGTGCTAGGAGGTAATTCAGAAATGATTTCATTATGGCCGGTTATATCAGAATTCACATGTAGAGTATCTTCAAGCATGAGTCCATTCTTCTTGTCAAATGAATCGGATAATATTCTTTCAACATCTTTAGCTTCCGGACCCTGATGAATCTTGCATACTTCAAACATTGGAAATCGACCTTCCATGACATAAAAGCAACAGCATGTGAAACTATGAAGCCAATTGCAATTGCCAGTCATCTAAGCTCACTAACAAAGAAAATGGAGAAAGAGAAAAACAACAGTAATGCGGAAAAGAAAAAGAAGAAAAAGAACAAACCAGAAAGAACAGCATCAACTGTTGCTTCTAAACTATGATGAACTCGCAGCTCAGTTTTTGAAATTATCTCCACCCCACAACTAAAAGTTGAGGGTCCTTTCCTCTCTAGCACTGTCTTCTGAACACCCCTCCGGTTTGCCTCTTCGTCCCCCAGTGTTACACTCTACAAGATGGATGCATTAAAATGATTGATCAGCAAAAAGGTAATCCACGGTTTGCCTAAACAATTCACATAACACTAGAGCAGTTGTAGAATTCTCAAGTATCTGCCAAAAGAATGGCTGGAAAAATTCTGCTAGGAACTGGTATTTTGTGTGTGTAAAGTCCACGTAACATAACATTTAAAATTTAAAAGCACACATATTCATCATGTAATTCATTTCTTAGTGCAGAGGTAAAAGCTCATGTGAGGCAGCCACTTTTTGCATATAATATGAAAGTTAGGTGTATCAGACCTTAAAACTGGGTAATGGCCTTTTTATGCATCATGGAAGTTTTATTTTTGAGTCTTATGTTTTGCTGAGGTAAACCAGGGAAAAGTTAGTATGCAACAAAAGTCAAAGGAGTTATCTTACGTGGTGTTTGATAAAATTAAAAGCTAAACACTAAAAACCGAATGCTGAATTTTAAGTGCTGAATTTTGAATTTTTTAATTCGCAGATTGTTTAGTATCAACTGAAATTTAAGTATTGAATTGAATCAAATTGTTTAACAAATACAAGAAGCTAAAGTCTGAAAATTATTATTATTCTAATTTTGTCTTTCTATGATGGCAGTGGTGGTGGTGGTGGCAGTGGTGGTGGCAATGGTGGTAGTGGTAGTGGCACAATAAAGGTGGTGGTAGAAGCGATAATGGTGGCACAATGGTGGTGTTAGTGGTGACACAACGGTGATGTCATAATGGTGGGGATGGTGGTGGCAATGGCACAATGATAATGGCGGCTACACAATGGTGGTAGTGGTGACGGTGATACAATAGTGGTGGCAGTGGTGGTGGTGATGGCGGTGGCGGTGACACAATGGTAGTGGTGTGGCGGCGACACAATGGCGGTGGTGGTGACAGTGCCATAATGGTGGTGGTGTCAATGGTGATAGTGGTGGTGGTGGCGGGGGCAACACATTAGTGGTGGTAACAACGGCAACACAATGGTGGTGGTAGTGGATGGTAGGAGGGTATATTTATCCATTATGAAGAATTGATAAAATTCTTACTAACTAACATTTTCAGCATTAAGTGATAAGTGGTTTGCTACTTAAAATTTTAACCTATTTTTAAAAAGTGCTTAAAATATTAAGTAGTATGAGTTTTAGGTTATCAAACAAATTCAATTCATTAACTGCTTAAAGTATTCAGTTTTAAGTCTTAAGTGGTACTATCAAACACCCTTTTACTTTTAGACTAATAAGTAGAGTGCAGTGGGATGGAACTAACAGCAAGTGTGAAAAGATGAATAATGAGACATGCTTCATGGCAAAGACACTTCTAATTTTGGGAAATCTGTTGTTTAAAAGCCATGTCAAAGGACAAATTCCCAAGTGACGGCCCACTTTTGGGCACCAGCCCTAGAGAGGTCGTGTATTTTCTGCTCAGTTATCTTGGTGCACACCTAACACCACTCCCAGCTATGTTAATGTATAGGCTACAGAAATCCAGATGTTCCAAATGCAATGAATGAATTACACATCACACATCAAAGAGAACACAACTGACTCACCTGTATACCTCCAACAAGCATCTCTAGTGAAGGATTCATTACCAAATTCTCTATTGTTACTCCATGAGCAGTGGCAACTAGCTGAATTCCACGTTGTGCAATTGTGCTTGCAGCCATTGCTTCAAGTTTTGTCCCAATTTCATCAATTACAATCACTTGTGGCATGTGATTTTCAACTGCTTCTATCAACACCTATATCATAGAGGTTAGAGAAGTGAGCAACTGGCACTGCTGCTAATTGAATGAACAAGAATAGAGGGTGAAAGGACGCATATATGAGCCTTCCGTAAATGCTCATTTGCCATGCAGCGTTACTAAGACATCAGTATATAAGCAAAAGCATGTGGAGCACTCATGCAGATGTCTTTTAAGCATCGCACACACATAATAAGTGCCCACGAGTGTAGCCACCACATAACCATATAGATGAATCATTGTTTAGTGGACTCACTAAATAATATAACAACTCTATACTGGTTTTGTTTACAAAAGAGAAACAATGTAGAAACAGAACTTTTGAGAAGGGAAAAACAAAAGAGAACAGTTACAGAGGTGTGCTTGAGTCCTTAAGCATACACACTTTTAAACTTTTCTCACAAAAAAGTCCTTTTGTCTGGGGGTAATTCTCTAACAGAAACAACAGCATGCTTTACAACACAAGGATCTTACGACAACAGCTTCGTGAAGGCCACACTGAGGTAATTCCTAGGTCAAAGCTTATTTTCAATGTTGCAACTCATAGTTTTCTAATACGCTCGCTCCTGCCCGAGCCTTAAACCCCACCCAACAACTACAACTAAGAATGCACATGACTTCCATTGAACATTGAAATTGATTTACCTCAGATAAAGAAAGAATCCCAACTTAAACCTAATCCAACCTAGTTCAAGGTGCAAGAGAGCAATACAACATTATACGACTTACGAACACCTAATAATAGACTGAGAAATCCCATATTCAGCTGCTAGTACTAATATGTGCCAATACCAGTTATAGCATTGGAAAATATAAGATTTATTTTGCTTGATCAAGGGGAGTCTTTTCCTCCAACCTGTGGAATGGAAGGGGAAGGACAAAGAGAGTTTAACCATTCAAATCCATTCAACCCTCATCCTCTAGCTTGCATTTCGGAATTCAATAGTTACTCGACAACAATTTATGTTGTTTTCTGAGACGAAACCACACTCAAAAGGAAGCTTGAATTATGCACCCCTTTAGTGGTGGCAAGAGATGTTATTTGAACTAAGAGCTGCTAGCCACAATCCTTAGGTTAAGTGACTTATGTTTAATGTCTTTCAATTTACAAGAATGTGCATAAAATGCTGCTAGTGTACTTTTGAATCTCAAGAGACACCCTCAACCATAAAATCCTTCAAAAGAATGCTGCTTCAGCGCTCTTTCTCCAAAAATTCATAACCTAGGTCATGGCACGCATTCATTATAACAAACATGGAGCAATAACAATGATGACCTTCCAAATATGAGAGGACATAACTTGATTGACATATAATCATCCACTTGTCCTACCATATAAAGGCAGAAAAGAAATTTGACAAACAGCTTGGATAGAATTTGGGTGGAAAACAAAGTCACAGGGGTTCAAGCATATTAACAATTCGAGCATGGAGGGGATGATTTCTTAACAAGAGTATCGCTACAATTTGCATTCCGTAACATTTACATGTTTTGAGGGAGGTTTCACAATTGCGCACAGTTCTTAGTGGCATGCCTTGCCTGATTTTCAACTCTTATAATCTTTTGAGTTAGATTATATGTACCCTGTTCATTGAGAAGAATCATAGCATTTAGAAGGCAAAAATTTTCCTGATCTATCCTCCTCCTCCAAATTAGATGCATTACCATACACCTTTTTAAAGGAATATCTTTCACAATTTCTCTTGATGAGATAGGAGGTATTCAGCTCCTACCTTGTGTTGAACGTCAGAGTGAGGGACTTGCATCCGGCGAGCATTACCTATTCCTGCATGGGGTATATCTCCATCCCCACCAATTTCATTTGATGTGTCAACAATCATGACACGTTTCTTATAATCATTTGCAAGCATTCGAGCTATATCCCTGCAAAATTTCAAAAAAGTAAGTCAAAGCAATGACCATATAACTGCCCCTTTGGGAGTAGATAAAGTTACCAAACCCCTTATTCCACAAATATTTAGGCTGTTGTTGGAGCACTTAAAAGCATACTATGAACAAGTGGCTCCACTTCAGCAAGAAATATAAATATTGAAAGGCATGCTTTGACGCAAAGAATCTATAGCTTGGGTTTCGGATATTTTTTCGCCTACGTACAGCATTTCACATTTAAATGTAGGAAAACTGAAATATTTTGGAATTTTTTTTAGAAAAATACATGTAGAGTAAGATTGTAAGCAATAAGAAATAATTAATGGTAGTTCTCCTCCCATTTGAAAGGAGAATAATTATCATACTAAGAGAAATTTCAGAGGCACTTAGCAGTCGTCCACCTCAAAGGGCAGCTCGAAAACAAAATGCATACTCATACAACATCGAACATTTAGGAGCCTTGTACTACGACTTACTGGCAGGTTTTCAAAAGAAGAAATATGTAGTTCTCCTCTCATTTGAATGGAGAATAATTGTCTAACTTAGAGCAATTTTGGAAGCACCTTCTCATTGAGGAGAGCAGTCAGTCACTTCAAAGAGGAGCTCAAATATAAAATGCAGATGCTATTCATTTTCTCAGAGATGATAGAGATAGTACATCCCATTCATATCTTATGATAGTGCAGAAGGGAGGTTCTCAATTGTTGGACGAAAATGTAAAAGTTTGGAGACAATCGCTGTATCCAATCCTCATCTTGAATCTCCTACTTAATGGTATTGAATGAGATGGTGAGTATACATATGTAAGAGAGAACGCCCTCAATACCAGATTACTCTTTGCACTATTTCTAACAATGTCCCTCATAGAGATGGGAATGAGTTTGGCTCTTCAGTAATTGATAATCAAGCTTATCTAACACAATGACAGCAATATCTCCGACATAATTTCAGCAACTTGTGTCATAATTTTATTTTATTTTTTTGGAGGGAGGGAGACTTTAACTGTTGACCTCAAGAAAGCAAAATCTTTACAAAGTACCATTGGACCAAAGGCCCATTCATAACTTATGTCATAATTTGTGAACCATTATTTACCAATGTAAGAGCACAATTATATCTTTGCAAAATACAAATAGCAATGCATGCTGCTATATTCAAGAAATCTTAGTCAAATTTTGAAAACAACAATTAGTACTTTTCGTTGCAAGTAATATGGTTTGAAAATAAATTGCATGTTACTCTTGGGCCGCATTAGTTAAAACCATTTATGGCCCAACCTACATAAAAAAAACTATATGAAATGAAAACAACTTTTTGAGATAATTTGATCTGATCTCCAACCTCGACCTCAAAAGCAGTGTTGCTCTCCTCTCACCATAATAAACCCCTAAGAATATTTGGAGAATAACTGATAAGTAATCTTCCTAGCACATCGATTGGCCAAGGCCCGAACCCTAATATTGCCGTGTTATATACTGCACACTTTCCAGATCTGGAATGTAAAAGGCATTTACTATCTCTACATGACAAAATTAAACCTTATTGATCAATCTATGTGGCATGACCATTTTAAGCCTCATTTTGCCTAACTGTTTGGACTTTCAACCAGAAGTTATAATTGCAGTCTCACCAAACAGAACATTTGAAATCACAATCTTTACATATTAGATATGCTTTCATTCTTCTTACAACAAGACATAAAAATAAGCACAGATATGAAATCAATATTCAAATTTTTGATAATTCTAATAGTGGAACTTTGGCAATTAATAATAAAATGAAAAAAGGAGAGTAGAAAGCAGATAGTCAAAATCGTAGCTTACACCCTCCTTTCCAACACTTTCAATTAAGCGAGCCTAAAAACAACTTGTTGACACCAAAAACCATAGAATGCTACTGTGTAAATGGAACATCGCAACTTAAGAACAAGAAAAAAGAAATTGATAACTTAAATTTTAAAATCTCCTGCATCTTTATAAAAACCGATCAGCATAGTAAAGTTCTCAGGGACATGTTGACACACTACAGATTACCATGATGAATAACAACTAAAGAACAAGTAACCTGATGATTGTAGTTTTTCCTACTCCTGGAGGCCCAATAAGCAACAAAGAAGCCCCATCTTTAACCAAATCTCGCAACAAGATGGCACTTCCTGATACTGCTCGACCAACACGACAAGTTAAACCAATAATCACACCTTTTCGATTTCTGATGGCACTAATTCGGTGTAAAGTTCTGCTAATTCCGGCTCGATTATCTATAGCAAAATCACCAACCTGTAATATGAAATGTTAGTTAGCGAGAAGGCATTCAATTTTTTAGCAAAGGTAGGCAATCAGCATAGTTTTGCCTCTTCATAAGAGGAGCACTGTAACTCAATCAAATAAAGTTGACCCTGCAAAGCAAAAGGTTTACAAAGTCTTCTAATATGCGTACATCATACTTATGATTTCAAGATGGTGCACTTACCAATCATAGTTTTAAATAACGGTAACAGGTGATGTAATGGTTGCGGTCATTATAATTTTAACTCAACTTCTTAGTAATTGACCAGATGGTTCAAACATTTAGCACATGTGGAAAATCCCTTCAATAAGCTTCTCTTTGAAACCACTCAGATTCAACAGCATCTATGAATATTCCTCAATTGCTGGGTGTGCCCATGGGCGTGTGTGCTATGTCTGTCTGTCTGTAGGTATGTTTATATTCAATTTAATTCCAATTCCACCCAGTTCAACCACTCCAAAGAGTAAGTCAGCTTCTTGCTCCTGACGATAACATTTAAAGCACCCATAAACACCTAGGGACACTGGAAAATTCTAACTACAATGTTAAGTTGTCTACAAACATGGGCGTCAGGTATCAATCCCGGTGTTAAATATAAAAAAAAAAAAAAAATCCCAAAACCAAATTTTAGCTCACATTACAAATTCGCTCATGCAAATGATCAAACAGTTGGCGGGAAAGATACAAGTTTACCTGAGAAGTGGCATGATTGATATCCTCTGTAGTAATCAGACGATCTGCTAAAACAAAATCCCCTGACGGAAACCGAGCCAATGGCTTTCGACCCAAATCCATAACCACTTCAATCAACTGGTGGAGCTCTTCGTGCTCGCTAACTATCTGCCGCATCTCTTCCGGTAATAAAGCCAACAGACGTCCCAATTCAACATCAAAATCGTCATCAGCTGAATATGAGAGCGATGAATGCGAACTAAACTGACCAAGAACAATTCTGCGCGACCCAGAATTCCTTTGGTTTGAATTGTGCTGACGAGATAGGTGTTGTGAAAAATGAAGGAATTCGAATGGGGATTGGGATGGGAGTTTGGAAACTAAGGTTTGGCGTGGGAATTGGCGAATTAGCAGAGGAGAGAGATGGAGCAGAGGAGAGCAGAGCATTGCTATTCTGGCTATAAAGTAAGCATGTGGACTCGTTATAATTCCAAGTGATTGCTCAGCTTATGATTCTCAGTTTTCATCCATTTATATATTGTGCTTTTTTCTGTTTTTGGTAACCTTTTCTACAAGAAAACGAAACACAAGAAGTCACAACTTACAAGGATTGGCCTAAGAACGAATTCTTAAACTTTTCAAAAATAATAATAATTTTTTTTTTATCAGGAAAAAAGGGGGAGAGTCCATCTCTAGGTGTTACCATGGGTGTCCCTCGTCACAACACAGAGTCCATCGTCACAACACTATCAAAATTAAGAAGCAAATCGTGTTACTCCCGTAAATAAGAGTAGAGCTAAAAATTATTCATAGTTGGGACAACGTAAAACTATTTCAATAATTTTTTTCTTTCAAAAAATTTACCCACAATTAATTCAAAATTAACATGTTTGGCTTGACTAAAATTCCATATTTTTTTTTCCAAACAACTTATTAGGACTAGAAGTGTTCATTTAATAGACATAATTTAGAAAAAAAAAATTATTTGCCACAACTTTATTAAAACTTAGATATAAGAATACTTTGATTGATCATTGATAGATTGTTCAAGTTCAATTGTTCAAATAATTTAATTTATAATATATTAGATTACAATATATAGTATGATTAAATTAAAAAATTTATTTGAAATAATTTGAATCTTAATTTATAATTCTTTCATTCTAATTTCAATTTTTAATATTATGATTTCTAAGTTCAAACCCCAATTCACATTAACAAAAATAATAGAAGGGAGAAGACAAAAAGAAGTTAGAAAAATAGAGTAATGACCAAGCAAGCCAAGTTAAGAATCAATTAAGAATCACTAAAACTCATTGTAATAATAACCAACCAAGCATAATCTTATTGGTTACACTTGATTCTATTAACTAAGTAGGTGGATAAGTCAACCCTTGCTAAAGGTCAAGATTAATTTCTTCTAGATGTTTGCTCATTTATTATTAATGCGTTATTCAAAAAACATAATCGCTAATTATTTATGTTTTAATAGTGATCTATTGATGTTTATAAGAAAGCCTCATCATAATAATTTTAATTTTAAGTCATATGACGAAAATGTAAGTCTAATTTTTCTGTTTATGAAAGAATATCACTTATCTAAAATATAAGCTAGCAATAATACTATTTATGTATGTAATTTAGAAACTTAATTTAAAATTTTAATCAATTGTTATTATTGGATTAGTACATACCGGATCCCGTTAAATATTAAGATCCACTAATAATCAAATGATAACAGTCACTTAACTTCTCAAATTAGATTTTAATAGTGTTACTTTGACAAACTTAATTTTTTTTTATAAAATTTTTAGTAGGGGCAAACTTCAATTTTTTTTAAAAAAAAATTCTAAAATTTTAAATAATATCCAAAAAATTTCAAAATTTGAGCGGGAACAATTGACCCCCTATTGAATCCGTCACTACTCGTAGATCTAACCCCTTGATAATCATATAGGTTATAGGAGTCAAAAACGACTCTAAACGAATAGTATTTATCACTAGGTTATTAGCTCGGATACGTTTTAAGACAAAATAAAAAACAAAGAAAAATATTGATGGTTTCAATTTTGATATTTAATCATTAATTTGTTTTAATTTACATGAAAATGAAATATTAAAGAATGACAAATTTTGATCCGACAGGAGTAGGTTATGACTTATGAGGCCGCCTTTGGATGGGCTATTTAGTGGACTGATTTTTAGCTGGTTTCCTAAAATTTCTAACCCAATGGGAATGTGGGCTTGCAAAACAAATGAAGCAAAAGGAAGTCATTCCCAAAGTTAACTCGCACATCCTTTAAAGCATTTAACTCGAAACTAAAAGTTTTAATGCATCAAAAAAGTTGTTTAATCTTATATAGTTCGAGAATTTTTTATTACATCAACGTGGGATATTAGCCACTTAAGCAAACTAACACTTAAGCCATGCTTAGCCCTAGCGGGTGATATTCTAAAATGTGAAAACTTTAAGGCAAAAGTATCAATAGTTTTAATTTTGGAAAGACATCTCAAGCCAACTTAAATTACATGGGCTCATAGCAAATTTCATGCAATAGTATAGTTAATTTTGGGCTTGCAAAAGTGCTATGGTCCGTTGGTGGAGCAACTACTCCGAATAGGCCTTATTTTCTAATCGGTTAGGCCCGAAAGACCTGCTTGTGAGGCATCTCAATGGGCCTACAGCTTTGCCCGTTGGCCCATAAAATTCTTTAAAGAAATTGAAATATGTCAAATATAAAGAAAAAAAAATATCAAAAATATGTGCCTTAGATTCGACTTGATTGGGTAGTCCGGTAAAGGCTTATTAGTATATGCCCAATTGGCATGCCATGGGTTGCCATTTCTTTGGACGATCCAACTTGTTTGCCGGTCAATACACTGTTTGTCTTGGCCCATGAGTGGACATGGGTTGCTTATTTGCGGACTAGGCTGGCCCCATTGATGATCCTTCACTAAATACTTTCAGCAGTGGTACTGACCACGGTTATTAGTGGGCTCAATTTTAGAGTGTCATTAAAGAACAATGAGTGAGATGAAAATTATAAGACACTAATTATTCCTTGGGCCTAAAAGTCCGGAGTAGTAAAAACAAAAAAGTTAATGATAAATACATTTATATTCACACCTAAAATCAAATTACAAATATAAAAAACAGAAAAAAAAATTAAGGACCAGTTACAGTGGAGATATGCGATATTAGTGATGGTGGCAGCCATGAGTAACAACCGTGATAGTTGTGATGGAGGGGGTATGGGGATACTAGGCAACGGTGTTGGTGGTTGGCAATGGTGGTAATGGGGCAACGACGATGGTAGTGGGCGATGACGATGGTGGTAGTGGGCGACATCGGGTGCTTCTAGGTAATAGTGTGATGGGTGGTGGTGGTGGTAGGTGTGGTGGAGTGGGTGGTGGCAGTGTTGGGCGATGATGTGTGGTGGTGGTGGGGGTTGGGTAACAGTGGCTAGCGGTAATGGTGGGCAACAATAGTGGTGTTGGGTGCTGACGGTGGACGACAGTGGTAGTAGGATAATGGCGGTAGTGATAATAATATATACGAATAAGATGACAATGGTGGTGGGTTGTCACAGTAGACAACGGTGGTAATAATCGGTGATGGGTGTCGATAGTGATGGTTGTGGTGATAGGATAGTGGAGTGGAGGTGGTGGTAGGGCAATGGTAGTGATGGTGGTGGCAATAATGACAGTGGTAGGGGCGGCAACAACGGTGGTTGAGGTGGTAGGGGTGATAGTCGTGGGGGTGGTGAGGGGCGGTGGTGGTAGGAGTGATGGTGGAATAGTGACGATGGTGAAAAGGTGACGGTAGCAATGATGGTGGTGGTGCTGGCGACAGTGATAATGGTGATAGTAGTGGGAATGTTGGTGATGATGGTGATAAGATGGCAGCGGTGGTGATGGAGGTGGTAGTGGTGATAGTGATGGGGATGAGGGTTGGACAATGGAGGTGGAGGTGGTGGTGAGGCAATGGGGGTGGGGTGGTGGTAGTTGTATTGGTGATGGTGGTGATAGGTGTTGTTGTAGTGGTGGGATGACAGTAATGGTGATAGCGACAACAATAGTGGTGGTGGTAGTGGTTATGGGGGTGATGGTGGGGTGGCAACAGTGGTTGTAGTAATGATGGTGGTGGCACAGTGTGGGTGGCGGGGTAGTGGTAGTGATGGAATAGTTTCAAACACAATTTTTTTTTTAAAAGTACTTATAAAAAGTCATAAATTCTAGAAGCACTTTTCAAAAATTACCTAAATTACACCTTTAAAGACCTATTTTCCCTATTGAATTTGGGATGTTAATTTTAATTGTTTAATTAACTTTAAAGTATAATTTAAAAAGATTTCAACCGCGAAAAGTAAAAATTATTATTATTATTTTTTGAGATTTAAATTGTTTGTACTTTATTATATAGATTTATTGTGAGAAACTATATCTAATTACGGGTAGTTAAGATACAAAATAAAGATGAAGGTATTATAGGTTTTTTCAGTGTGAACACCAAACCCATCATCGCCTTTTATTAATGATATAAATTATAAGCATCTTAATGTCTTTCTGTTTTTTGGTTTTATGATCATGGGTGTTTTGATTATTTTATTTACGTGTATTTTAATTAATCTCTTTTTCGAGTTTAGTTAAACACATGTCATCCATGGTAGAATTAAAAAATTCATGAAGAATGAATTCTTCATAACTTGTCCTTAAGATAATTGTCAATTTTAAAGTTGTAAAGTTAGAACGTTTGAATTAATCGTGTACCCATTACAACCTGTTGAGGTTAACCATCCTAATGTCTCTCTATTTATGACTTACGAATTGGTCCAAAAGTAGACGCGTGCTTAGAAAAAAAAACACAATTACCAATCTTACAACGGCAATGTTGCCAATCAATTTCATCAAATGAATGCTTTGTGGCCAAGTCGAGGACATAATTTCAAACAATCTTTCAACGCAAGAAAGTGAAGCCAAAAACATTGACAATATTATTTGAATTTAATTTAATGTAACTATTGAATTGTGTGTAGATTTTATTAATTATTGGTGGTGGTGTATTTTAACGTGATACAATTTGTGATTACGAGTTAATGAAAGAAACAATATTGAAATTATTGGGATCTGAGCTACTAAACTCGAGGGAATGATACTGAGAATTATTGGAGAGTTGGGGAATTAACACAGTAAAAATTTACTGATTCACCAGTTCGGAAGCTTGACTAATCCAATCTTCAATAAAGATTCTTGTTCTTTCTTTCACTATTTACTATACCAAAATGTTTACAGAATGTAAGATGTGATACTAGGGTTCTATACCTCTGTTGGGAGCGTTATATAGTATTTATAGGGGTATCCCTTAATCTATGGGATCTGATCCGTAATCCTCGCCATTTATTCGAAGAATTCTCCTTGATCTTAGAAGAGTATGTTGGTTAGTTGAG